TATCTGTGAGATTAATAAGCGTAAGAATTTAGCGATCTATAAGCAAAATCCTTCCATTACGCCGTAGCTTCTTTCCATCTTCCATGATCGATAATTTCTCTAAGCTTTTGATATGTCAGTCAAAAGACGAATCCGCACTGCCTCCTCAGAAACTGCACCAGCAACCAAAGCAGCTTCAAAGCTGAAAATAATGACTTCATCTTTCCAGTACGCTCACCCTTCCCTTAATATGTCTTTCTGCGAATCAGCTTTCTGCAACGTTTTCTCAGGCAACAACGTCCGTCTAAATAACATATGCCCAAATTAGTCATTACTTCACTTTTACTTTCCTCTCTCTGCTGCTTTCCACTTACTGCTTCTCTGTTCGAGTCATGGAGGCAGACGCATTAAGGAGCGCTTCTAAAGTTCCTGATTCAGTGCTAGTGTCTAAGTTACGACAGAACGCGAGCAGAGTCTAGAGCAGACACCTTCCGCATATTTTATCAGTTTAAACTTGGCCATCATCTGATGGTCGGATGGGCATAAACTGGTTGCGTTGCTCTCATTTCTGGAAGCATTCACGACACGTGCTCAAACTATCGCAGCTGTGACTTCTCAATCTGGAGAAGCGGAGGCTGTGCACCAAGGCTATCGCGCATTTCTGTATTCCGGACCATGTAGAGAGGCGTAAGGTGAGCGACTGGTCTAAGAAAGCCCATTTCAGCAGCTTCTACCTGGCTTCGAAGTTTTTCAATGATAGTCCACGACTCATGACCGTAGGTAAGCAAGGGGAAGAAGATCGACTTGAACACCGAGAGCTTAATTTTCAGATTCAACTCTGCTTTAGTCACAATAGGTCGGGCTAGTTCATGCAGAACGCCACTCCAATTCGCCGGTCGGTCTCTTCCGCCAATTTTCCATCACTAAATGCGACTCCGAGATGCTTGAAGTTTTCTATTTGCTGGACTGCTTATATGTTAATCTGAAGATTAACAACGGGCAGAAGCGGGTAAGCACTAAGCTTTTCTTTTTAGATAAGTGCATACGCAAGCCGGCCATCTCGCAACAGCCTGCGAGTCTTTCCCGAGAATGTTGTAAATCAACTTCAGTAGATGACAATAAAATAAGGTT